GCCGCTTCCTTCGTCACACAATCTGTGGCCACCCCCGTTGTGCCAGTCGGCGGGTCGCTGCCCCCGGAAACAGAAAGGTCGCAGCCCCCATCCCGAGTGGGGTAGGGTTAGGGGCGTGGCCCGGCATCCACGCCATCGGATGCCCGGGCCGTTGGTACGCCAATCCCCTGAGCCTCCATTCTCCATCCCTCCACCTGACCATGGCCGCTTGGAGAGAGCCATGTCGATCCCACTCTGTGGCCTCCACCCGGCACCTCAAGTCCACCATCGCCTCCCACAACACCACCACCCCGAGCACCGCCAAAACCATGGCGGCGCTCGGGGATTGAAAAACGGGATGGCGGCGTTTCCCACGCCGCCATCGGACACCTGGTCAACCAAGGTCCGTTCCCGGCTCCGAAACCATATCGAGTTGGCCGGTCTCTTTCGCACACACTCGCACACAGTCGCTCCCAGGCACGGGAAGCAAAACCGTAGCCGGATACATTACAGAATGAGTGTATTGACTAAATACCAATCACCGCAATAATTCCCCATCTCCATTGTCCTCATGTATTTTCACCATAACACCATGTCCACCACATTTACTTTCCACCATCAAAAACACACCATATATCATGTATTATATATTAACCGTTCACTTGCCCTCACAATAAGTATGACTAAAACCCAAAAATCCCCCAAAAATCCAAAAATCCGTTAATTTTTGGTTAATTTTTGCCTTTTTTCGTTATTTTCCGTTAATTAACGGAAAATTAATGGAAATTAACCTCTGTCCGCTATTAACGGATCCGGGTGGCCACTGGCCACCTCTAGTTGATGGGGCACTGCACTAAAAAGCATTGGGATATTCCACCGTGTGGGTTAATTAACACAATTCACTTCGGGGGAAGTTTGGAGAGTGGGATTTGTGGTTGTGGCTGAGTAGATTTGGAAATTGCGAACAACGATTATCTTTGTGGCGTTGTGGATGGAGAACAGGCTTTTGAAATTGCAACAAGTACTTGTTTCTCCAACTGAGAGTTTCTCTTGTTCTAGTGTGTTGTGTGTTGCTGGTTGACCGTTTCAAGTGTGAAGTGAAATATAGTTCATCTTTGAATCTCCAAAAGTGCAAGCGGCTGTATACGTTTTGAAAGTAGGATTGGTCAAGTAGCTTTGTTTAAAGATCGTTGTGCAAATTTGATCGTTTTATTCCAGTTTAAATAACTTTGAATGTAGAGCTCAGTGTGGCAATCGGTTTTTGATACTCGGAGCAGTCTAGAACAGAAAATTAGACATTCTGATTAAGTCAAAGTATCATTGTTGTTGAGAATTACCTATACCATAATGGTGTTCTGAAAATCAAGAAAGGATAAGGTACCTGCTGAAGTCTATTTCATACAGCTTGATGCTCAAACTCTCACTGGAGATTTCTTGTACCCCTAAGGGTGAACGAGCACTCAAAACCTCTGAGAAGAAGGTCCAATTCAGTCGCCCTTCCACCGCAAACAAAAACAGTAAGAGGCAGCACAAGTGCAAGCGTGTTGAGGCTCCCAGTGACAATATCATGGGTGAGCTACCAATTCTAAAGAAGTTGGCATTAGAAAAGGGGTGGGTTGAAAGGAAAGCACTGCCTCCTCGTCTATTAGAGGAGTCTAAGCTGCATCAACTTCCTTTCAAGCTTCAATCGTTCATAGCTGCTCATTGGCACGACTATAGCAACTCGTTTCAAGAAACCGGGGATTTCATCCGGTGGGAGTTGGCTAAAGAGATTCCCGAATCAGAAGTGATCATCAGGGAAGGGCAGGTACTCTCTGGAAAGGTTTCTGAGCTGCCAGGGGACAGAAGTGAAGAAGCAAACAAGGCTTCCGGGCTAGAAGGAACATCCTTGGGCGAAGGTTTCCAAAGTAGTTGCAAGGAAGGGGTCTCAATTGGACAGTAAAGGAACAATAGCACATTGGCCTATTTTGACGACTTTCAAGTGTGGTCAGTAAGGCCGGCAACAATCGTTTTGGTGTTTGTGTGTCAACGTTTGCTGCAGTTGACTGGCGAGAAAAGTGTGGGTTCTTTGTATATTGATTGTGGGAGCCAAGTTGTGCTCTAACCTTGGCATAATTGTCTAAAAAGTCTGAAGTGAAGTGTGGCGATCGTATTGGGGTGTGGACATACCTTCTGAATGGTTTCAAAGTAAATTATGCAATAAAGTTTCGATATATGTCAGAGTTGTCTTTAGTTGGCCCAAATCTCGGGGAGTGACTAAAGGCCAATATGGTAGTCACGAGGAATGCCCTCCAATAGCGGGAAAAAGCTGCGCAGTTGCACGACCGCGAATGAGCGAACTTTGTTCCAGCGCGAACCTTTGTACTTGCGCAGTAAACGAAGACGGCGCCATGAATGCATCCTCCTCATGTCATAAACCATAAGGCCACAGCTCGCAGTGAAATTTCGTCGATTGCCCGGAAAAGCTTTTGACGCGCCACAGGCGGCGCGCAACGCCCGTCCGTCACCCATTCCCCCGCGAAGTTGCAAAGAACCAACGACAACGACAGTCCTGGCCCTCCGCGAGCCTTAGTGCCCGGGTACGTGGCCTGGCGCATAGCCGTGGCGAACGGGCGCCTTGGCAAACCGAGCCCTTCCCCTGCCGGTCCCAGCGGCCTCTCCAGCCCCCGCGACAGCCCTCGCAAGCCCCTTACCCGGGGACCTGCCAACGGCCAATTCCTTGCGCCGCACATCTCCCCCTGTTTGCGTCTCGACCAGCTGTGTCGAGGGCGTTAGTGCCCTGTGGGCGGGCAAAAGCGCACAACTCCTAAAGGCCTCCCGCCGATAGCCGCGCGGGGCGCCGGCAGCAATGGGCGAGGAGGTGCGCGTCTCCATAAATCTGTCCTCCGGCGGCGCCCATGTGCAGATCGCGCCGAAGGGACCCGCACCGGGGATCCAGCCGGAGGATGGGGCGGCGGGGCCGGGGGAAGACGCCGGGGCGCGGGCGGAAGGTGGGGAGACCGCGGAGCCGGGCATCGCGGACGGCGGCCGCGAGGGGGGGGGAAATGATGACGGGCAGCAGCCGACGAGCAACGGCGACATGGCGGTGAAAGGGGAGATGAGCGAAAGGGAGGTTTCCGCGGGGGTTGTGTCCGGGCAAATCGGGGAGCGGGCCGGCGCCGGGATGCCGACGGTGGTGTCCTATCCGTCCGAAGAGGTGCCTGTGACGCGGATCGAGCTGTCCAGCGATCACCTGTCCGACGCGGACGACGCCAGCCCCCGGTGGGCCGAAGGGGGCGGCCAGCTGGCCGTGCGGACGCGCGGGGCGGCCAAGCCCGAGGGGGCGGGCTCGCCGGGGGGCAGGATCCCGGACTCCGCGAGGCTGTCCTCGGAGATCGACGAGGACCCCGGAGATGCGCTGCGGTCCGTGACGGACGCCCTGCAGGAGGCCGAGAAACGCAACTCGCGCCGCGAGCGGTCTCGGTCGTCCAGCCGATCGTTCAATGGGTCGCTGGACGGCGCCGCCGGCGCCAACGGGGTCTCCACGCCCGCGCCCCAGGGCGGCGGGGCGCCGGACGGCCTGGCCGAGATCCCGCTGATCAGCCAGGCCGGCCAGCCGTTCGAGGGCCTGCTGCACTGCGACACCACGGACTCCGTGGGCCACCCCGTGGTGGTGGTGAACACGGGTGCGCTGCCGCGGGTGCCGTTCGGCGCGGCACGCGGGCGCACGGCGGCGCTGAACTACATACGGGACGCGCTGCAGCCGGTGGTGGAGAGGGGGCCCTACGTCCTCATATTCACGTCGCTGCAGGTATGCGTGCTTTGCGTCCACCCTGCAGTCCACTCCGCTGCCTTGAGTCCCTTTCTCCCAGTTGGTGCTCGTGAACGCGTTGGGCTCAGGCATGCATGTGCTGCGTATGCCGAAACAGCGACATGCTTTTAGAGTCCTTGCGCCTGTTGTTCCGGGGTGCTGGCCAATGATTCCGACAGCTTGCAGAGCGAGGCGGGGCAGGGCCGACCAGCGAGTGGTACCCATGCTGGCCGCGATCATCCCCAAGGGTCAGGCATGCGGAGCATCGGTTTGGTAACGCTGAGATGTGCTGCCGACGAAGTCGTGTCTGTGGGCACCGAGGTGTTTGTTGTATGGGAGAGTGAGAACCGAGACGCCGGAATTTGGAAGTTGGGTTGGGGATTGATCTCGAGTGGGACTTCGCTGTCTGGTGGCGATGGATGTGGAAGGAAGGCTCGAGGAATGGGCACTCCCGTCCTGATACAAGTGTTTGAGCCATTTGTCGTTACTTGGTGGCAGTGGAAGTCGCTATGGTATGAAGGACCCCAATGTGGGAAAAACTGGAAGAGAGAGGAAGGACCCCAGTGTGTTAGGCACTGGAAGAGAGGGAGGAAAGCATACAGCAGGTTTCCCATACTCAGCAAAACATATTTAACCTTGAGATTTTGCAGCGCTAGTAAGAATCTCAGGGATGTGCAATGATGGTCTGCGCTGATGTTCTGTTGGGAAGTCTGTTTCTGTTGCATTTGCAGAAGTTAGATGAATGCAGTTCATTCAGTTTCACCATGGGCAGTGTAGAGCCACACAACATGATAGTATTGCCCGCAGAAATGAGCTACCCAAGGAACAAGCGAGTAAGCAAGGAAGGAAGAAGCACAATGAAAGTAGCGGTGGATGAAGGGAAGTGGATGGATTATCTTGAGAGCAAATCTTGTGGATGGCATTTCAGCCGCCACCACATGCTGGGTGCAAAAATAGAGCTTTGTTAGGCCATGGTAAATGTAAGCAAAGGAACCCTTACCTTAGCCTTGCTGCCCTTCCTTGCAGGTGTCATCCCTGTCCCAGGTGAGTGCCGCCTGGGTGGTGAGCGCCTACAGGAAGCTGACACGCCCTTTCAAGAAGAATGTCAAATTCATCGTTCTTGTGCGGCCCAGCCTGTGGCTGAAGGCGTTACTTAAGGTGACTGATACGATTGTGACTAAATGCGCCCATTACAGCACCACAATGGTCGTGGCCTGTGACTGAACACGGCAGTAACATAATTTGGAGAACGGTTGCATGTGTCAAAAGCTGACAACCCTTACCCCAGGTCCCTCACCCCAAGCCTGGCTTTGGAAAAAGCGCAAACAGGTTGTTTATTGTGTTTCTGATTGAGTTGTTTTGTGTATTTGGGAATCCAACGTTCAATTTGATAGTTTCTGTACAATAAAGTCCCATGCATGTGCATGGTACTGTTGTATTTCTTGACAGATGAACGAAAAAAATCCAATTATGATGCATGTCTCAATGTTTTGTGCATGCAGTTCTGCATTTCACTCAGTTTGGTGAAGCGAGTTCAATGGACTGGTGCCCATTCATGCTAACCTTGGTTGTTGCATATTACAAGGTGATAAGCCATGGCCTTTTACCTTGCAGTCTAAAGTACTTTGTTTGCATTTGCCATTAAAGACAAAGCAAGACCCTTGCACATGCCAGGCGAATTTGCGCTTTGTCCACAAGAGCAGAAAATGTTCCCAGCAAGAGTTTGCCCTGGCCCCCATTAATTGAACTAAGTGCAGCACAAGCAAGCCAGAGAGAAGCAAGAACTGAGCAAGTTTGCTGCTGTTGTGTTGCTAAGTACAGAACAGGTTGCACATCTGCTTCAGAGGGTGCTGACGAATCTATTTTGGTGCATCTGTTGGGTTTTAGGTGATGGGGATGGTAGTGAAGCAGAAGGCACGGCGGAAGGTCAAGATAGTGCGGTTTCTAGAGGACATGGCTCTGGCCACAGGTGGAGAGGTTTCAATGGAGCACCTTGGCCCTTCCGTACTCAAGGCATTGGCAAATGCAAGAGAGGCCGCTGCAGCTGCCTCCTGACTTACCAGGCGGCAATCCCATTGCTTGCCAGGAAGCAGGATTTATCATCCATCTGTGGGCTTCGATCGGGCATTTTAGGATTTTAAGGTTATGGCTCCAGCAGTCTGGGGTGTGGTTTCCTGGGGCTAAAGGTTTGGGGAGCAGTGGCACTTGCAGTCCCACTGCAACCCAACACATCCCACAATCCGTTTCTATATGCAACACCGCACGGAGCATGTGGAGGAATGCAAGGTTGGCAGTCTGACAGTATGAGGTGTGTGGATATCCATGCATGCGTGCATCTGTGTGTGGTATTTGAGGGTCGCCAGCAGTCTGCACTTGGAAGTGAGAGAGGCGCAGATCCTCGTAATGCTTGTATCAAAATAGGCCATAGTTTTGCCCTTGCACCTTGCAGGTGATACCAGGCACCGTTTGGCTGGTTGGGTTTTTGGAGTGGTCGCAAGGTGCTGTGGTGCCATCACAAAAGAGGGGAAGGGGTTGGAGGGAGGTGTGCCCCTACTGGAGAATTCCAAGGTTGTGGAGGCCAAGGAGCATGCACAGCAACTCTTGAAGTTGGCTGAGAAGCTGGCCGTGAGAGGAGCTAGCAAGGACAGGGACTTTTGAAGCAGTGTGTCATTGGCCTGTTGTACAGGCAAGAGTCTGCTGCATGTGATCCCAGCATCAAGCAGTTGAAAATTTGTGGCACTGTTATCTGCATCGGCATGACATACTATCAACTGTGTTTACAAGGGGTGTGCTTGCGTAGCTGCCATGATTGTTTTGATGATTGTTGCTGGTGCTGCCTGTAGTATAAGGACGTGCTCTCCTTTGCAGCATCATGTTCGTGCCCAACTCATGCGATGGACAAATCGATTGCAGTTTCCATCACTGGCGTCCTTCACCATTTCTTCCACAAATGATGCCCATTGCCTGTCACTCAGTCCATCCAACCATCCAACCAGCTGAGAAATAAACTCATCAAAGACAAGTCCACGTCGAAACGTTGAGAACGCAGCCAGATGTACTGACTTGACATTCCACCATTACAAGCATGCCTCGAACCACTGGCTCAACACAACAATGAACGCTGCATCAGACCTAGGGCTCGCTGGTCTGACGCTTGAAGGAAAGGGTCAAATGAACAAAACAATTCACACCAACCTGGACCCAATTTCTACAATTTTAACTTTTTCTTTCGTTTGTTTTCTCATTGTTTTCTTTTGGCCCTTCATGTGTTTGATAGCAGATAATGTCTCCATGTGTCCTTCTTTGGCCTTACTCACAAAATGGCATTGGTACTTGGCGGAGTCAGCTCAGTGGTCAAGCATTTGTAACCTGAACAATTGGGTTTTGCAAGCGCCTCTGAGTAGGAGATTTGACTCCATCTCTTTCTCCCAGCTGCACAATTTCCACTGCAGCTATGCTAGAGTTCCATTTTTACTGAGGTTGCTTGAGACCTACACCTTTTTGTTGGTTACCTTGTTGCGAGTGTTCCCGGGCCTTGGTTGCCCCGTCTCATGCCCATTTACACGTTCCTGAGCACATCTATTCTCAAGATGGCCTGGCTCACGAGCAGTGACGCTCGAGGGGGGCGCTTTTCGGGATTGGACGCTGAATCAATTGACGTTGTTGTGGAGCCGTCTGACTGTTTCCACAAGCACAACCCCCGCCCGTGTGTCGTGGTTGCTGCAAAAACATGATGCTCGAGTCGCAGAGATGCTTGTCCATTTGTGGGACTCGTGTTTGTCACCGTCGCCTTTTGTTGATGTCCTACAAGAATCGCCCCATTGTGCAGAAAATGGCACTGGTAATGTTCACAATCAAGAACAAAAACAAGCGAACACATGAATGAAGAACGCCATGCGTCCGACCATGCAAACCAGCCTAACAAGATCGGCACCCATGACAGACCTGGCGATGCCTATCACCAACCCGAACAGCTTTAACAACACATGCATGCCAGCATCCAACACTTTCATCCATTTCATGAGCGTCTCCACTATACCCATTAGGAATTCCACCCTGATGCTTGACATGTGCAGCACAGAATTCCCCAGCACGGGCAAATCGCACACCAGCCACCCTATGTCTTCCTATCCTCCAGGTACACCCTCCAACCGTGCAGGACATACATGGTTGTTGGTATATTTTAGGGGATTTCCACGACTGATACGGGGGAGTATGCTACAAGGGATATTATTACCCGGTCGGAGGGAAGGCGCCCTATAGGGCCACCACTCCCCCAGATGCACTCCACCGAATACCGGCATGGTTGCACCCTATTTTTAAGGCACAACAGGAGGCACTAAGAATTCATATGCCGGATATTCAAGAGGCAGCCACAGAGTGGCACGTAGTTCAGCGGACGGACAAAAGGATCCCCAGTGAGGGACTTGAGCCTGCGCAAATTGCTCCTAGAGCGTCAGTTCCATAGGCACCTTCAGCACTGCAGGCATCAGCCCAGCCCTTCATGGTGTAAAGGCTAGGGCCAGGATCAATGCAGCTGCAACTTACATGACGAAGCAAAAGACTGAGAGTTTGCAGGCTTTGTCGCCATTTGGTCCCAGTCAACAGCTACGACTGGTCTTCCCTGGGCAGCCACAACAGCCATCAGCACTGCCAAGACCGCAGTTTTAGTAGCCTTTTTAGGCACCTCAACAACCTTTCCAGGTATCACAACAACCACTAATGGTGCAGCAACCACCAGTGGTTCAGCAGCATCCGCCAATGCAGCTAGTCCAACCACCACTGCCAGCTCCTATGGGACCAGTTCAGCACCAACCAGTTGGACCAAAACTGATGCTGTAGTTGGGTTATCGCAACCAGGATATGGCCAAGAGCAACCCCTTATGGCGCCAGAACAACCAACAGGTCCACCCTAGTAGTTCAGTGATCCCACCATGTTCCAACAACAAACAGAGCCGGAACCGGAGGAACTACTATTTGGGATCCAGGAGGGACCGAGCTACATGCAAGCACCTGTGCCGCTTCACCAGGAGTATGTTGCCCTTGTGATAACAGGACCCCACATGGCAGCGGATGGACCACCACCACCACCAGTAGACTACGACCCCACGGGACCCAGTTATATGGGGTTGGGTCAGGGGTACCTGACAGCAGCATAGGAGGTGCCATACGCTCCTGTTTATATGCATCCCAAGAAGGGAATTGCAGGTGAGCATGCATGTAAGGAGCGTCGCCTTTGGGAGTCCCTTCTCACCAGCCAAGGCTTGACCTATCTTGTTCCGTTCAATTTGGGAGTTGGTGGTTTCACACAAGAGGTAGAAGTGGGCAAGGTTGTAATTACATTGGTATGGTTTGGTCTCTTATTTATAGTTGCCTTAGTGTGGCAGGTGAGCAGCTGAACGGCCGCTGCCATAATCAACCAATTCCATTCGAATTTGTATCCACACCCATTTGTATCCTTGTACGCTACTTGCCTCATAGCTGAGTCATCCAGCTTGTCTCATCTATGATATATTGTCAACACTATATTTAGTCCCGTCTGGCTCCAAGGGTCCCGTGGGCCTGCCCCTTTTATAAACCACCGTGTTGACCAACACGGCTCCCTCTTTCCTGTGATACTCTTCTGTCTATTGTGCCGAGCAACCCCCCAAGCTGCTATCCCTATTATGCAAGGCTAGTACCTAGTCAAAAACCCGTGACATTTTATTATACAATATTCTCTCCTTAGCGCTCATAATGTACAATGTGCCGTGTTTCCCCTCAAGTTTGGTATTCTATTATACAATGCTCCTAGTTGGCTCATAATGTACAGTGAGGTGTGAGCTCCCCCTCACAATGCTGAAGATAAATAGTCATGGCATTAAACCCCAAAAGTC